GTCTGGTCTCTTTGGCTACTGGAGGCTCCAGAGGGGGGAGGGAGGCTCCCCCGCCCCCTTGCCTATGCTCCAGCCCGCTGGTTCCTCTGCCGGCTGCCCCAACACCGCCAAGACCGAGGTGGAGGGTCCTCCGGCCCAGTTCTGCTGAGCTGGCTGGGGCACCACCTGTCCTGTACCACCAGGACATGGAAGCAGCCACTCACATCACATGTTGCCACCTTGGAAGAGAGGCCTTCTCTGACCTCTGTCTACATCTCTGCATTGTAACTAGAATGATCTCCATTATTTTATCACTCCATTATCTTCTGTATTCCCCACTAGAATGTCAATTCTACGGAAGCAAGGATGTAGGAGTGTTTGTTCACTGTTGAAGGGTTTACCACATAGACATAGTATGTTCCCTCTGTGTCTTTTCTGCCTCCACCATCTTCAGCTGCATTTCCTACGAATCGCTTGATATAAAAAGAAAATGTCTGCAAAACACCTCTTGGGGAAGACAATGCCGGGGGAAGGCATCAGTCTGAGACTGGTTGGGTATTAGGGTATGGGCAGTCTTGGGTGCGCGTGGACTGGTGTCCAGCTCCTCCTGATGAGACTATGAGCTCTGGGACCTGCCCCTCAGATCCAGTAGCAGGCAGCAGCTAAGGCCGCCAGAAGCCCCCAGCGACCTCCCAGTCCGCTGGGAGCCACTAGAGCCTTGGCCACAGAGGTGGCAGCCACGGTAGAGGAGGCACAGGAGCGCGTGGCGCAGGTCGCGGTTGGTGAGCGTGTAGATGATGGGGTTTAGGAGCGAGTTGGCCATGGTCAGGCCCAGGAAGGCGTCGGCTTGCAGGAGCACAGGACAAGAGCGCGCGGGGCACGCCACGTCCAGCAACAGCAGCAGGAATAGGGGGCCCCAACACGCCACGACGGCTAGGAGTAAGACGCTGAGCGTCCGCAGCAGTGCCAATGAACGTGGAGTACCGCGGTTACTGGTTGAGGTGTTCCTGTTAGTCCCCGGCTGTGCCCGTAGGAGCCGTGCATTGGCGCGCACCTGGCAGTAGATACTCGCATAGAGTGCGCAAATAGCAGCCACAATACCCAAGAAGGTGAGCACGCAGAAGAGCACGTAGGCCTTGGCGTAGAGCGGCAAGACAGTGGAGCAGGTTTCCAGATGACCCAGGCAATTCCAGCCGAGCGCCGGCAGCAGCCCGAAAACCAGGGACACTCCCCAGGCAGCAGCCACCAGCGCCAGCGCGCGCCCCCTACTAACCGCGGGAGCGGGTGCCTGGCGCGCCATGGTGAGGCGACGGTCGAGCGCGATGGCGAGGAGGCTTAGCACCGACGCGTCGAGCGCCACAAAGACGCCTCCTTCACGCGCGAACCAGAGCGTGGGTGACAGTCGCAGGGTGAGCGGCCCGGACAGCAGAATGTTGGCGGCGTATGCGGCGCCAGCCAGTAGATCCGACAGCGTCAGGCTGCCCAGGAGCACGAACATGGGCGCGTGGAAGCGCGGATGGCACCTGAGCACTAACAGCACAGCGGAGTTCTCCAGCACGATGAAAGCGCACACCGCCAGGCACACCGCGGCGTCAGCGCGCAGGCCGGCGCCAGGTTGGTAGCGCGCCCCGCGGAGTTTGCCGGTGTAGTTGTAATGGAGGACGATGACTTCGCTCACAGGCGAGGGCTGCAGCAGCCCCGACTCCATGGGGTGCGCGCCCCAAGGCCCCACGCCCTGGTTGTGCGCACCCTGGAGTCGCTCTCCCTGTCACCTACTGAGCGGAAACTACTGCGGGGCGGGGCTGGAGCTGGCAGGGAAGGGGCCGGGCCAGCGACCCTGAGGGCTGCCGGTATCCCGCAGTTGCCCCTGCCTTAAGGCTGAGCTATCAGCCCGTGGCTGTCAGCCTGTGCCACCCACTGCAGCTCTGGAATGCGCCCGGCGGTGACTAGCCCCGGTGAGCCTTCAGTGGCCCCCTGCGGGCCTGGGCTATCCTCTAGTGTACTCTCCATGGCTGTGGGAGACACGGAAAGGGGAGGGCTCCCCAGCGGGGGCTGCTGCCATCAAAACCGCTGCCTCCAGAACAGAAGCCTGGTCTGCAGGCTTAGAATCTTGAAGGCAATGAGGAATCTCTTCACTGTACAACATGGCTGAAATCACATCTCATCTGTATATCCTAATTGAAACAGGAATTTATCCTTTGCTGCAAAGTAGAAG